GGGGGAGGACGAGGAGGGGAAGCTCTTACCCAAGTAGCTGTTGGATTATCAGCGCTGTTAGCATGGACATTGCGGGACTGGCGGGACGAGGAGGCGGGTAGGGAGGTGGGGCAGTGGCTAGTTTCAAAGTTCAGGAGGGTGATGGTGTGAGAGGAGGAACGTCGGGGAACCTCTTGAAAGAGCTCAGAGGGCTGTAGGTGGATGAGACGACCCAGAAGACATAGTGGGATGAGCACAGTGAAGGGCGCGAGAGTCGAGGACGAGGACGAGGTTGAAGCCCTGAGATGTAGCGTGATAGGAGGACGGCTTGTGGGATGGTTCCGTGTGGTGATTTGCATTCCAGGCCCCTCTCTCTTCCGATCCTGCGTGGATCTAATCCCGCGCAAGAGAGTTCGATCCCCCTTGATCCCCTCTGAGACCCGCAAGTCCTGGCACTAGGTTCCTCAGAGACACGGCATGGTAAGAGGCTAGCTGCTGTGGGGGGCTGGAAGGAGGGGGTTCCATGTGGTGAGGCGTGAACATGAATGGAGAGCATGCCGATCCCTCTCTGCCGTGCGAGCTTTGACCTGGAGAAGCATGAAGCCATCACGACCTGATCTCTTCACATCCTACCATGTCTGCGGGGCGATTCCTGGTGGCGCTCCTCCTCCTCTCGTGCTGGACGGACGTCTTTGTGCTTTCTGGAGGCGAACAATCATTTCCTAAGTGGCCATGCTCGACGCTCCGATCCCACAGGTGCCTGCCGGCCATCGGCTCCTTGCGAGGGGGAAAGTCGGACGGCATCGTTCAAAACAGGACAGGGGCTGAGCCGTTTCATCATCGAGGCGGGAAGGGAGCGAGCTGGGCAACAAGACAGGCAGCAGGGCAGGAGAATCATTTGGATGGCGTGAACCTGAAGCCTTCCTTCTCTCTCCTGGGCCATTCCTTGCAGAATGGAATGCACACTGCTGAGTAATGAGATTGTGCACGCGTGTGTATTTGCTGATGGGTTGCTAAGGCTCGGGCTCAACGCTCCCAACATCTCCGTCAAGGTTGATGTACTCTCTTGCTCTCAACTCCCTTACCCTCTCAACAGGGTTTCTTGCAGGAGATGAAGAACTTTCAAGTCAGCCTTGACAACTCGAGCCCGGGTGAGTGCACCACAGCGTTCGGGTGAAATTCCTTCAGACGCTGAGAACTTGATAGGCGTCATCGAGCTTAGCAAGTATCTCGGAGCTGGAGGGTCGGCTGCAGACGCTGCCCCTCTTCCTGGCCTGTACGAGGCAAAGAAGGGAGTGAAGGTCCGGCTGAGCTTCAAGATCTGGTACCTGTCAGACTTTGGGGAGACCCTCTGGATCTCTGGGAATCATCCGGCCTTGGGGAGTTGGATCCCGCAGAATGGGCTGCAGGTACGTCATGCGCACATGAATTGAGGGAGAGAGGTGGGGGAGATGACGCTGCTGCAGCTGAAGACAACAGCCTCTCTGTTCCCTAACTGGCTCGGCACCGTGGAGGTTGTGTGAAAGGCTCGGTGGCGCCTGTTTGATGTCGACACTGGTACAGGTCGTGTTGGACGACGTCAATCCGATCTTCTACAAGTATGTGGCGATCTCGCGCGATGGGTCCAGGCTCAAGTGGGAAGAGAAGGTCATCGACAGGTGACGAAGGAGCTGCCTTGTGAAAGTTCTTTGACGGCGAGCTATCAGGAAACTTCCGCATCAGCTTTATCGGAATATTCAGGATGCAGTCGGTGAGTCAAGGCCGTAGTCTTGCCCGCTTGCCTGACTGGCTCGCAGAGAACTCGAAGAACGACGTCATCGAGTTTGTCTGCGAAGACGGGAAGTTCAACCTGCAGGAGAAGGAGGTTTCGAGCACACTTCCCCTTCATGGGCACAAGGTGAGACGAACTTCTGAACCTCCTTGACTTCCACCTCGTTGCCTCCCTGCCCTCTTCCTCCTCCCTCCCTCACACCTCACGGTAGACGGCGGAGGAGACTGTCCGGAGTGAGAAAGTGAGCAATCCCCCACGAGCGACGCGGAAACAGCAGGAGTCGAGCGAGGAGGAGGAGGAGGCGAAGCACCTGGTTACCTTCCAGGTGACGGTCAACACTAACTACGGCGAGGAGGTCTTCGTCTGCGGCAGCGACCCTGCCCTGGGCTCCTGGATCCCTTCAATGGGCATCCAACTGACCACTACCAAGGACACCTACCCGACGTGGACCGGTCGGGCCCGGCTGCGCAGCGCGAGCGAAGGGAAGGCACTGTACAAGTACGTGATCAAGGTGTCTGGTGACGTGTACAAGTGGGAGGACAGGATCCCAGACCGTGAGCTCGTGCTGGAGGGGTCGGACACCTTCATCAACGACGGTCGGTTCAACCAGGTCCAGAGGCAAGTCACCTACGTCCGCATGCCCGAGGAAGCAGCAGCGCCGCATCCTCCTGTAGGGACGAAGGGGAGGGCGAGTGAGGGAGCGAGGCCGCTGCCCTACTCGCAGTTCTCGACGGCAGGGGAGCTCTCCTCTGCTCTCAAGGTAGTACAGGCCAGGAACTTCGACCTCCTGCAGAAGAGGACGGAGTTGCAGCAGGCGCTGAGGAAGTGCAATGCCGAGGTGCACCTGATCAAGGGGAAGAGAAGCTACTCGTCCAAGGACAGCGCGCTGGAAGCGCTGGCGAAGGTGCAGGAGAAGCTGCAGCACCTGGAGGAGGCAAGGAAGGAAGTTCACAAGCAGGCGAAGGAGAGCACCGAGATGCTGGAGAGAGTCAAGAACCGCGCTTCCCTCTACGAGACTTCAAAGATGCGAGCTAGGAAAGTCCTCGAGAAGCTTCAAGACAGGTCCGGGAGGAAGAGAGGAGAGGAGAGGAGAGGAGAGGGTTGTGCTGAATGTGGAAGCAGGAAGAGGGAACTCGAAGGGCGTCTCGCAGAGCTGAGGGCGGAGCTGCAAAGCGCGCAGGAGGTTGCGAGCCACACGCAGGAAACGATGAGCAGAAGACTTGAGCAGGGGTCGCGCCTCGTGAAGACACTCAAGGAGCAGCTGGATGAGCTGAAGAAGAGGCAGGAGGAGTACGAGGAGGGCCTCCGGCGGGCGGAGGAAGAGCAGGCGATGATGAAGGCGAGGGAGAGGAGCCTGCAGGATCGTCTGCTCGCCATACACCAGGAAGGGATCATGAAGGAGAAAGAGACCGAGAAGCTCCTCCTGCACCTCCACGACATGCAGCAGGAGACTCGCAAGGAGCAAGAAAGTGAGCTGAGCGCGGCGCAAGCAGCCCGCACGGGCCTAGTGGAGTGTCTTCGGTTCAAGGAGAAGGAGCTGGAGAGGATGCGAGCCCAGCGAGATCCTCTCCACAACGCCGTGAAGGACATGGAGAAGGCAGGGGAGGAAACATCGAAGAGCTTGAAGAAGCTGGAGGGAGAGTACGAGAGGAGCAAGAAGAAAGTCATCGCGATGAAGAACTCGATGGCTGGGCTGCATGCCTCCTCCATCATGAACGATCTCAAGCAGAAGCTGGACGGCATAGCAGCGAAGAAGGCCTCCTTCCACAGGAACCGCCAGACGGGCATGAAGGAGAGGATCTTGGAGATGGAGGCGAGGATGAGGAAGTGCGTGCAGAAGTACCAGAACATTTCGTTCCACAACCAGCTCTCCCTCTCCCTCGTGTCGCTCCTCACCCGCACGAGGGACGAACTGTACAACTCAACAAGCAAGCTGCCGGAGGGCAGCTGGGCTCCTCTACTCTCCCAGCTGGAGCAACTGGAGGCGTTGGAGGAGAAGATCACCAACTCCCTACACCTCCTCTCTGTAAATAATGTAAATATGACGCGCGAAGTGCAGGAAGGGAAGCAATCGTTGGAAGAGCTAGAGGAGCAGGTCGCCTCGAGCCTCCGAGAGTTGGAGAAGATCAAGAAGGAGAGGAAGGAGAAGCAGGGTGAAGTCCACGATCAACAGCATCGCCAGGACTCCCTCAACAAGACGCTCGGGGTGTTGAGAAGGGAGGAGCTGGAAGTTGATGGGAAGATCAAGGCTGCGAATCAGAGCATGGAGAACCTCCTCGAAGTCTGCGACAGGGAGGTGACGCGGAACAAGGATCTGTCCGAGCTCTTCAGCTCGGGCCTGAAGCCGACGGAGGAGGAGAAGGAGTCACTTGAGACGTACGTCCAGCAGCTACGGGATCAGAGGGACTTGCTGGAAGAGGACCTCGAGCGAGAGCTGTACATCAACGCCATGCAGGTTGAGGCGAAGAAGAACTTGACCGAGCTGAACGAGAGGGTCATCGCAAGCCTCCTCCCCACCCTCAGCCGCTTGGAAGAGGATGCGCAGGAGCTGAGGGAACACAAGGCCAAGTTCACGTCTGAGCAGGCGGCAATGATCAAAAAGATTCTGCACTCAAGAGAGGAGCTCAGAAAAAGGACAGCACAGATCCAGTGCGTCAAGTTTGACAGGTTCATATGTGAGGAGAAGCACGAAGCGACCAAGAGGACAGAGGAGGAGCACAACAAGACCTACGTCCAGAGCAACACCCTCCTCCTCCAGCTGAGGACGGCACTGCTAGCCGAGCGAGACGTGCTTAAGATCTCGAGGGAGGAACTGGCGGACGAGCTTGCACGGACTTCGGAGCTTGAAGCTCGCTGCCAGGAAGTGGAGAAAGATCTGAGGAAGCAGGAGGCGTACATGAGGAAGGTGGAGGCAGAAAAGCAGGAGCTGCTCCAGAAGATCGAGCGTCTAGACTTCCAGTCCCTGCTCGATGAGGCAGACCAGCTGCGATCCAGAGTGGAGGACGAGGAGGAGGGAATCCGACTGCTCCAGCTTGACATTGGAACTGCCAAGGAAGAGCTGGAGCAGCTTGCGGCAGAGAGGCAGAACATCACAGAGAGTTTCATCCCTCTGTCCCGAGAGCGTCAGAGCAAAGTGGAGCAGCGCATGCTGCTGTTGCAAGATCTGAGCCGGCGAAACGCGTCTTTGCGAGAGATTCAAGATCGTGTCGAAGCAAAGAAGGTGATGCCTTCTCTTCCTTTCGCTTCCCTTCGTCTTGCTCTTCCCCATCCCCCTCCTTGTTGCAAGCTTGTGCTCGCTAAACTCATGGCAGGCGGTTGTCGATGGCCTGCATGCAAAGCACAATAGCAGCATGGAGGAGATGAGGAGGATGGAGAAGGTTTCGGTCTCCATCCAGGAAGAAGTCCTCCTCCTGCGCAAGCAAGTGAAGCAGCTAAACTCGGAGATCAACGACTCCCCTTGCCCCGACACGTCCTCGATGAAGGGTGAGATTTTGCTCCTCACTCTCTCACCCTTTGACTTGCGTGGCTGGATCGACCTTCGACCTAACGGTGCCGTAGGAGAGGCGAATCGTACAGACATCGTTCACGTCCTGTCGAGAGGGCAGGATTTATGGTCCGACGGTAAGAGCTTACCTGCTGTGTTGCTGTGTGTCCGTCTTGATTGTGCAGCAGCTTGGGAGAAAGGAGAAGAGAATCTTGTCAGTATGGACATGCAAGTATGAACTTAATAAATCTATGAAGTTCGCGATCCGCATGCGTGCCTGCCCAGCTTGCTAGTTTTCAGCCACTCCCTACCAGTCCTAGAGCTCCTTGCCCTGGCAAGAGTATGACACTGTTCAAGTAATGTAGATATGTAACATGAACAGTCAAGTCTCCAGTACACATCGCATGATTGTATTGATTGTAATGTCAGATGATTAATGCATGTTACAAACATAGGAAAATCTTGGGTATTCCGGAGGCAGCAATCGGAAACAAGGAAGAATGCATCGCCGAGAAATCTTCAAGTTAAAGAAGAGACACGAAATAGCATCTGCCCAAAATCTATCAGTATTGTTGGTAGATGGCTCATAGTATACAACCCGTTCATCCCAGCTGATACTTTGAAAACCTTTCTGCCTTGCTCTATTGAGTATACTAAGTTATACCTCGTTGTCTCTCAAAAATAGTACCTGATAGCAAAAAGTTTACAAGAGATCCATGTTGTTCTTTGATATAATTTCTGATGAGCTCTTCTTTGCTGAGCGCATTCCCAATTCTATCAGCATGATATGTCACGTGTCATTCGTATATTTCAAAGGGCAAACAAACCGGCCCTGCTCCAAAGGTCCATGTCCAAACGAATTCACGATGCTAACAATAGCACGCACGACTATTGCATCACACATTTGTACAAATTTTTCTTCTTCTGAGGTCCGGGTTCTCATACTGTCAGTATTCTGAAGGACCTTGGGCTGTAACATGCGAACAAATTCAGGACAGCGAGCATTCGCCATATCACAGATCGTTTACCTTGGGAGGCATCGGTGACGGTGACGAATCGTTTTGATTCAAACACAATGAATTGATGCCCGCAAACAAGTCCATTTCATCTGTATGCATAGTATGATTATATCTATCGATACTGAACTCTGCTCCAGATTTTTACCCGACTGATCAAGCATTGTCTGAAATTCGGTTATGTTACGATGGCCTTGTTCAAAATATAAGGAATTTTGGATAGATGTTTTGAAAGGAAATTTCTGTCCTCAAGTCAATTACAGCAAGACAAACATCAAAACTAGCTTTTACAGGAGTAGAAGGATTTGAGGTTATTGCCGCAGGTTGAATTTCATGCAAAACTCTGCCTCCTGTCTCTTCAGGGGTTCGCAAAGGACTCGACAATCCACCATGCCAAGTTCTGTTCAATGGAAGGAAAGGGTTTGTTGGATTTTGAGTTTGAACATGAATGTTTTGTAGAATAGGATGAGGTATGCAAGACTGCGTCAACGAGGTGACCTCGTCTATTTTCAGAATTGCAAGCTCCGGATTCAAATCATGGGTGGATTGCCAAGGATTCCATACTGAATGATGCTCTTGTCCCTGATCATTTTCAGTCCAACTATACGATTGTGTTGAAGTCATTAGAAATGAATTGGAATCTTCATTCGTTGGGAGTTGTGGGCTTCCTTTGATCAAATCATCTTGACCACACGGTGAGAATGAGAAAAAATTTGGTTTTCCTTGCTCAAAGTTTTCAGCATCATCTTCATACATATTTTGTTGACCCCTGGGCTGCCAAGCACGATATTTGGGTCCAAAACTCCATGTCGCTGTAGTCTTGGGGCTCCACATTGTCTTTTCGATTTGGTAGATGGTTCCTCGTAATGAGTTTTCCTAGTTTCCCAGGTCAGATCATAACAGACACATCTTTTTCAATGCTCATGATTACAGCACTTCGAGCTCGATTTCGAATGAACAAAATCGATATCAATCCAGAAACTTCTTCAGAAATGCATCACACATTCAAAGCTGGATACAGACAGCAATGTCACAAACATTTAGGATTATGACAGAAGGAATCAAGACTGGACAGACTATACACAAATCCCTATCCCCTCTTATGCCGCTTGCCCGCCCTTCCCTTGCTGCATCCTGTCGCCTTCTACTCGCTCTGCCTATTCTTCATCGATGCCCTCAGATCGCCCCAGCATTACGGCCACAAACTTTTGATGGTTTCCCGCCCAAGAACTAAGACCGTACCACCCCCTGACCACCGCCATATTCCCCCTACTTCACACCCCTCCCTTTCAGGCAGCAGGAAAAAAGAATCATCGCCCTCAACCTCACTGACTCAGGCGGCTCGACTCGGACGGGTTGGATTATCTGGAGCGGACGGACAGGCTGAGGTGGGAGGTGATCAGCATGATCGGCAAGGATAACCAGCAGCTGGACATCCTCCTGGCTCACGAACGAGGAGGGCCTCGCGTACCGTGGTCCGACTCCGGGTCCGAGTCCCTTGACACACAGGCAGATAAAACGCCGCCGGGCGGCCAACATCCTTATGCCCCTCGGGAACGATGCCACCCTCACCCGCCTTCAGCGCATGTTTCTAGATAGGCTTTTAGAGGATATCATACCCCATCTACACGATATCACCTCGTCACTAGAATACATCATAGTAATGAGAAACATATGGCGGACAATCATTCAAACCGTTTGGACCTTTATTGACTGAATCGATTAGAGAATCGCTCAATTCTTGTCGGATTCGTCCTCGGTGCTCAGGTTGCCGAAATCTATCGCGGCGTCGAACTTCTCAGCCTCATCTTTGACGCGGCGAGCCCTTCGGTGCGGCAGGCTGTGCGGGTAATGTCACTTGAAATCACTCAGTGACTGATTGAATCCGGCGTACCGGAGGCCGAGTCGGCCCCGGCCCGGGACCTTCGTGGCGCGGCTTCCGAGTTTCGCAGTCACTGGCAAGCAACTGGGCTTGCAGTTGGCACCGTCGCGGCCCGGAAACTGACAGTGACAGTGATCAGAAAAGACGGGTGAACAGTGAGTCAACCGTGATCTCAAGGCCCGGGCTCCCCCGGGCCGGCGGGGCCCGGCGGCCCACCAACTTCGGAAGTTCCGGGCGGCCGGGCGTTGAACTCCGGGAATACCGGACGGTTTCCGGACGGGCGCCCGGCGGGCCCTCACGGCGGGCCCGGGCCGGCGCCAGGGGCTCACTGGCATTCAAGTGACGGCGACGGCCCGGGCCCCGACGGTCCGAGCCGTCACTGGCATCCCCCGAGCTGAGCCTGGCACTTGAGCCTGCCGGGCCTCTCGGAGCCTCGGAGGCTGCCAGAGGCTCATTCAGTCCCCGTGCGCTTGCGCGGATGTGATCCCGGAGTCCGGCCGGATGATCCACGGGAGTCACTGAGTGCTGTCACATGATCGTCACGGAGGCTGTGCTGAAGAAACACTTCCGTTGATTGTGTCGCACCCCGAAGCTTTACGAGTGCTCAAAGCACCTCAGCCGGATTACACTGTGACACAATGGTGAAGAGTAGTCAATATGAAGCAATATGAAGTTTATTCGAGAAGCATCATAAACATAAAACAGCTTTGTGGCACATACCAACTCAAGGAGTTGCCTCAGATTCTTCTATAGGCCAGGCAAACAACCAACCTCCCTCGTGCGTTGACTTTTCCTCGAGTATTGCCAATCTTACCAGTACAGGAGAATCGATGTCTTTCATAGCTGCTCTTGCTGTCCACGCATGTGAAACATGCTCAACATAAGAGTTCCTTCCCGCAATCCCTCTCCTCGATGTCGTCCTCGCAGCCCAGGTACCACTCGATCCATGCCCGGCTGATGGGCTCCCAGCCAACCTCTCTTCCTCCTCCTCCGGCTTCTCTTCCCTCGACAGCGGCACTCCTGCCTCCTCGAGCGACAGAAGGGGAGGAGCGCTGCTGTTTCCTGCCTCGCCTACTCGAGGGACTACGTCGAGGCTTGTCCCTCCTCTCATACGGCCACCGCTGGATGCCCAGCCTGCGGCTGAGCTTCTTGAGGGCCGTGACGGAGATGCCAAGGGCGGCGCTGGCCTGGAGGAGGGGGAGGTGGAAGTGACGCTGGAGGGCAGGGAGGTCGAAGGCCTGGGGTCTCCTTCCCTTGTGAGGGAGGAGCTTGCGGCCAGACTTGCTTCGGGGGAAGAGGAAGACCTTGGTGCTGGGCTGAGGAGGAGGGGGACAGCGGGATGGGGGCGGGGAGGCCATGGGGAGGGCTGGTGAGCTGGGCAAGGGGGAACGGTATCAGTCTAGGATAACATAGTAACACAGGGAGGCGGTAGGGCAGAGTAGGGGTAGTCCGTGTCAACCTTAAGAGCTCTTCCTTAGAGGTCCTAGTACCGAGGCTACGCCGATTCCGACGTATATTATTGTTAAAAGCATCAAGCCTCCTCGACTCTCGTGATTGTCCTCGTACTGATCTTTAACTTAACTTTGAGTAAAGCATTGGATACTGAGCATCTAATAATAATAATAATAATAATAACAATTAAAAAAAAAAGCATCCGGTCGCCGGGATCCGAGGAGACATGGGCCTACACTGTGACACCGTGGAGCCACCGCCGGAGTCCGATCCCGGCCCTTCAGTCAACTTCGCTGCCCGGCTCAGCCTCCTGCGGCGCAACCGTTGAACGCTACCCTGGCACGGTACCGTGTAGGGCACGGGGCCGGGCCGGGCACCACTCGTATCCGGCTAGCCAGGCTCCGCTCAGCCGCGGCCCAGACCTGAGCCTGAGGAAGCACTGATGGCGAGTCGCCGGGTGACTTGAAGCCTGCCACCGAAGCACTGCGGCGGCCCGACGGGGCGCCGGACCGTGAGTCAGTCCAGGACTCTCCGGCGGATCGGACTGATCGGACAGTGTCTCATACCGTAGTACTCCATGATTCGGAAGTTCGTCTCATGCTTCTTCTACCATGCCTCTTCCTTCCCTAGTACTCTCCTCTCCCGCCTGCAGTCAACCGTTGGCAGTGCAACTTTCACACTGAACGTTGTCAGTGCGCTTGTCCTTGAGATCTTGTTGCCGGCGGTCCCTCCGGAGCCTCGGAAGAATCGGATGGCATCGGAGTCAGAACAGCCGTTGACCGGCTGACTTCTGAAGGCTGCTCTCGGATCCCCACCCTCCTCCTCCTCCTCTCAGGCGGCTTCCCACACACCGGCCTCACATCTCTCCCTTACCTACTTGCGCGCCTGCGCGGCCGCATGCAATCAATGTATGTACATGTCAATGTGCTGCTGTTACACCCCGAAGCTTTACGGGTTGTACACAAGCCAAGCGAATGCTCAATGAACCTCCGCTGGATCACACAGAAGGTGCTAGACAGTATTATCAAGCTTTATTGCAGCAACCACACCAACACAGGGAAATGCGTGGTACACAGAGGGAGGGAAGACAGACCACCTAGAGATGAAGATCTTGATCCTTTTATAGCCCTGTGGAAGTCCCAGGGGTAGTGGTCCTCGCTTGCACGAGTCTTCCTGCCTCGTGCCGTCGCTATGGCCCCTTTGGTCCATGCGCTGCTCCTGTTCTTGTTTCTACCAGAAAGGAGAGCTCCACCGGTGCTTGATAGGGAAGCCGTCCCGGAGGGGTCCGACTTCTGAACCAAAGTAGCCGTTAGAGAATCACTGTCTTTCGTCTGGATAGTTGTAGAGGCTATCCTTGTGTGCTGTCCACATTTCGAGTGTTGACCACTCCTGTGTTGGGCTCGCTATCCTATGAGCTCTGATAGCTGCAGAAAAACAGATGAAGGATTACGTTTGCATTTCATTATAACTAATCAAAACACGTCAGGGTACGATCAGGATAGCAGACACACTGAAGTATTCCCTATGTGACCATCTAAAGACTCCTCATCTGCCACCCCCCCTCACATTACACTCCTGTGATATTCCTCTCCTCGATGCCGTCCTCGCAGCCCAGGTACCACTCGATCCATGCCCGGCTGATGGGCTCCCAGCCAACCTCTCTTCCTCCTCCTCCGGCTTCTCTTCCCTCGACAGCGGCACTCCTGCCTCCTCGAGCGACAGAAGGGGAGGAGCGCTGCTGTTTCCTGCCTCGCCTACTCGAGGGACTACGTCGAGGCTTGTCCCTCCTCTCATACGGCCACCGCTGGATGCCCAGCCTGCGGCTGAGCTTCTTGAGGGCCGTGACGGAGATGCCAAGGGCGGCGCTGGCCTGGAGGAGGGGGAGGTGGAAGTGACTCTGGAGGGCAGGGAGGTCGAAGGCCTGGGGTCTCCTTCCCTTGTGAGGGAGGAGCTTGCGGCCAGACTTGCTTCGGGGGAAGAGGAAGACCTTGGTGCTGGGCTGAGGAGGAGGGGGACAGCGGGATGGGGGCGGGGAGGCCATGGGGGAGGGCTGGTGAGCTGGGCAAGGGGGAAGGTGTCGCAAGCACGTATCAGTCTACAGGGAGGCGGTAGGGCAGAGTAGGGGTAGTCAAGTTAACCTTTTAAAAGAGCTATTGAGGCTAGTATGCGCTTTGATCCACCCCTACCCCCCATTTGCTCTTCTGATCCGCCTTAGAGGTCCTAGTACCGGGGCTACGCCGATTCCCGGACTCCGATCACGAGTCACTGAGTCCCACACGGCCGGGATTCGAGGAGATCGGATCGGACATGACTCGTACTGATTTTTAACTTAACTTTGAGTAAAGAAGACTCTCCTGTCAGGGTCAAGCCTCCTCGACTCTCCTGATTGTCCTCGTACTGATTTTAACTTCACTTTGAGTAAATGGTGACTCCTGATTGTCGGTCCTCGTACTGCTTTTTAACTTAACCTTCAGTAGACGACTACACCCCGGGCCCGGTGGAGCCCGCGGCGCCCCGGCGCCCGGCCGGCGGGCCCACCCGTAACCGCGGCGCCGGAGTCCGATCGGGCGGCCGGTCCAAGTTCAACTCAGTTCGCTGCCCGGCTCAGCCTGGCAACACTCGGAGTTGAACTACCGTACCGTAAGGTAGGGCACGGGACCGGCCACCACTCAGTGACTCGTACGGTATGACAGTGACCGTACGGGGCGCCGGACTGTCCCGACCGTCCGACTGACAGGGCTTAACTTTGAGTAAAGACAGTGCTGTCCCATACTCCATGATTCGCGCATCATTGCTTCTTCTACGTGGCATGCCTCTTCCTTCCCTAGTACTCTCCTCTCCCGCCTGCAGTCACGCCAACCGTTGGCAGTGCAACTTTCACACTGAACGTTGTCAGTGCGCTTGTCCTTGAGATCTTGTTGCCGGCGGTCCCTCGGAGCCTCGGAAGAATCGGATGGCATCGGAGTCAGAACAGCCGTTGACCGGCTGACTTCTGAAGGCTGCTCTCGGATCCCAACCCTCCTCCTCCTCCTCTCAGGCGGCTTCCCACACACCGGCCTCACATCTCTCCCTTACCTACTTGCGCGCCTGCGCGGCCGCGTGCAATCAGTGTATGTACATGTCAATGTGCTGAAGAAAAATAGATGAAGGATTACGTTTGCATTTCATTATAACTCCTCAAAACACGTCAGGGTACGATCAGGATAGCAGACACACTGAAGTATTCCCTATGTGACCATCTAAAGACTCCTCTGCCATCCCCCCTCACATTACACTCCTGTGATATTCCTCTCCTCGATGCCGTCCTCGCAGCCTAGGTACCACTCGATCCATGCCCGGCTGATGGGCTCCCAGCCAACCTCTCTTCCTCCTCCTCCGGCTCCTCTTCCCTCGACAGCGGCACTCCTGCCTCCTCGAGCGACAGAAGGGGAGGAGCGCTGCTGTTTCCTGCCTCGCCTACTCGAGGGACTACGTCGAGGCTTGTCCCTCCTCTCATACGGCCACCGCTGGATGCCCAGCCTGCGGCTGAGCTTCTTGAGGGCCGTGACGGAGATGCCAAGGGCGGCGCTGGCCTGGAGGAGGGGGAGGTGGAAGTGACTCTGGAGGGCAGGGAGGTCGAAGGCCTGGGGTCTCCTTCCCTTGTGAGGGAGGAGCTTGCGGCCAGACTTGCTTCGGGGGAAGAGGAAGACCTTGGTGCTGGGCTGAGGAGGAGAGGGACAGCGGGATGGGGGCGGGGAGGCCATGGGGAGGGCTGATGTGCTAGGCAATGAAGAGTTCGCAAATTCTGCGCCTAACCACCCCTCCTTATCCCTGCCCTGCTGCCTTCCCTGTGATACATTGATCATACCCCCACCCCCCACCGTACTAACCCCCCCCCGCCCCCCTTGATCTTTTATCCGCAGTGACCAGTGGGAACTGATGGGGTGGGTGGGTGGTATCATGTTGCAGTCTCGAGCCTCCGAGCGAAGCTGCGGGGCAATTAAAATTTGGAGAAGGGAAAAGATTTTCAGCTAAACAATTCGGGTAGGTTTTGTAGGCTTTATCCTCCTCCTCCTTTGTTTAAATGTTTGCTCCGGTTTGCGTTTCTTTTTCAGTCAATAAAGGTTTTAGGGTTTTTCTAGATCAAGGGTAGGTCAGCCCTATATCAAGTTGTGGCTTTACTACACATTTGCATACCTAGCATATGCAAATTTTAACCCGCTTGCCCCGAAGCAAGCGGCGTAGCATGGGAGTCAGTTACCGTGCTCACCTACTACTTCCCGCCGGGCCGGACAGCGGCCCGGCGCTGCGGCGGCCCGGCGCTGCGGCTGAGGGAGACTCAGACCTACTAGTGACTGAGCGCTAGTGACTCCCCGGACTCAGTACAGTCCGATCGGCTGGCGGCTCAGGCGCAACGAAGTCCGACTAGGGGATCGCCGACCGCTCGGGTTTTACCGTGTGATTCGGCTCCTCCAAACGCCATGATTCGTTTCAAGTTCGACCTCAACTCAGTCCTCGATAGCTAACGTACTCTTGACAGTACCCTCAGTCAGATTTCTTCACAGAGACGGAGGTGAAAATCTCCTTGAGCACTCCTGGCAGGGGCGGAACGATGCCGGGTGACGGTCAGTGGAGAGGACGAGGACGCGACGAGCGAGGATACCTGGGAGCTCTGCTGTGTCTGTACACACGTGACCTCGTCCGAAAGGAAGCGCCTCGGCAATGCGAAGAGCTTCATCCCCACCTGAGGAGAAGGAGGAGGAGGAGGAGGAGGAGGAGGAGGAGGAGGAGGAGGAGGAGGAGGGAGGGGGACGTGGAGGACGTGGACCGAAGGCAC